TCACGCTTGCCAGCCCACTGCTTTCATTTATTTTCATATGTATGTTGCTGAATATTGTGACTTTTTCCAGTATATTCAAACTTCTCAGATTTCTTTTGTTTGTTTTTGCAGTCTTCCCTCAGTAATGAAATACAAGTCATTCAACCATTGTTAAGCCCTCAATAAGGCACCGCCATATCCATCTTCAACATTTAGAGTCAAATTTGATGAAAAATGTTTATTGTCTCTCCCAAACTCTCTTCTCTGTTCTCCTTCACACTGTCACAGTACATTCCACTGAAGCAGCTCCTGGGAGAGCAGGCTTTTCTTTGCTATCTGATGTACTATTTTTCAGCCTGTGTCCTCCCTAAATCTGATGAAGTGGCACTAACACTGAAAAGATGTCTATCAGATAGCTTTTAAGAGTTAAAAGACTCAGAATTAGATAGAGTCCCTGGATCTTTTCCCCATTGTAATCCCAAAAGGCAGATTCATTTCCTGGTTCTCCATGAAGGAGAAGAACCCAGAAAACCTCTTTTTAGTAACCTAGTACTCTTGGTTGCTTTGTCTTTGAAATCTTACCAGTAAATGCAAAAACAAGCCCTTATGCATGTACTCAACAATACCAATCCAAATGTTGCTGAACATATCTTCTCTGGGTCACCCTAAATCCCCTGATCTGTTATTCTACCTGTCTTTAGATAGAATTGATCAAATTGAGAAGCCCCAGAGCAGGCCTAAGCCTACAAATACCAATCATATGAGCAACTCTCGATTATGTGGTCCAGGGGAATGTAAGAATCTTGGTTTCCACATCCTGACCACATCAGCAACCCATCAAATCTTAGTCATGTTTCCCAGACAACACACTCTGCAGCTGTCTGTTACCTTATGTCATCTGACACCCATACTGTTCCCACTGCTTGGGGCTCCTTTTTCTTTGTTTCCTTTTTTACTGAATATGATTTTATGAATGCTCGGTGCATTGAAGCCACTCTCTTTGGGATAGTGAAGCACAGCCAGAGCCCCTCATCACCCCCAAGAGCACTGATACTGCAAGGCAACTATGTTTTCTGTACACCAAGCTTTGAAATTTACTGTTACGCTCAGTTTACTGAGCTTAAGGTCTGAGTCATGGGAGTGAAGTGAGGATTTTTATTTACATTAATTCTCTCTTGTTCTCTCCCTGATTTAACTGTGATAAAATATATATAACATGAAATTTTCTATTTTAATTGATTTTAAGTGTACAGTTCAGTGATATTAAATACATTCATATTATTGTATAAGTATTATTACCATCAATCTTCAAACTCCTTTCATTTATTGAAACTCAAAACTTTATACCTACCCAACATTAATGCCTTTCTTCCTTCTTCCCCCGACTGACGGTAAAGCCCATTCCACCTTCTATGTATATGAAGCTGACTACTCCAGGACCCTCATATATGGCCTTACGGTGTTTGCAAGATTATTTCATATTGTATAATGTTGTCAGGGTTCATCCCTGTTGTAGCACATAACTGATTCATTTTATTTTTTAATATTGAAAAATATTCCATTGTGTGTGTGTGTGTGTGTGTGTGTGTGTGTAAAACACATGTTATTTATCCATTTATCCGTCTATGAGCACTTGGTTGTTCCCACTCTTAGTCATTGCGAGTAGCACTGTTGCGAACATGAATGCACACATCCCTTGCTTAAGCATCTTAGGTGTATACTCAGAAGTGGAATGGTTGAGTCACACAGAAACTATATGTTTAATTTTTCTGAGTAACTACCGCACTGTTGACTCTAGTTCTTTTATCCACCATTCACCAAAATGTTTCATCCTCAGGCCAGATGTAGATTTTTGAATATTAAAAGATCAGGGAAAGTGAATTATATGGCTTTGAATTTAGTTACTCACCAAATTTAGCAGCTTAAACAATAAAAATCTATTTTCTCATAGTTTTGGTGGATCAAGAATCTGAGCACAGCCTAACTGAGCACCTTTGGCTTAGTTGTCCTTCAACCCAGATGTTGGCAGAGGCTGCAGCCAGCCCACACCTCCACTGAGGAAGGGTCTGCCTCTGCACTCGTATATCTAGTCAGGAAACTGCAAAAACATGCTTCCATTTCCTCACATGGCTGTTGACACGATGCTCACCAGATTGGGCAAAAATATCAGTTGCTTTCTACAAAGGCCTTAACAAAGGCAGCTGACCATCTCATTCACTGAAACTCAAACTTTATACCCACCAAACAATAATACCTTTCTTCGCCCTTCCCCCAATGGTAAGCCCATTCCACTTTCTACATATATGAAGTTGACTATTCCAGGACCCTCATGTATGGCCTTATGATGTTTGCATGATTACTTCATGTTGCATAATGTGGTTGAGATTCATCCCTGTTATAGCACACAACACGTTCATTTTATTTTCATTTACTGAAACTCAAATTTTATTTTCTGCTCCCAGTCTTTTTGTGTCCTATTTCCTTTGCTATATTATGTCAATTAGCTCCAACCAAAACTCAGGAAAGGACATTGGGCAAAAGTGCAACCACCAAAAATCCAAGATTATTGAGCATCATTTTAGACAGTAAGAAACTTATCGTGGTTCTGTTTTTATTATTGTAATGTAGAACAACTAGGATCTGAAAGACACTCAAGATATGTTTAATGAGTGAGTCAATATTAGTCAACCTAATACCTGTTCTTTTACACTGGG